CCTCATCATCTCATCAGTATCTGGACCTCATCATCTCATCAGTATCTGGGCCTCATGTTTCGTGGTCATGAAAGTTATTCTGACCATGAAATCATCCTCATTCTACTTTGAGTTAAAACAAACAACCTGCAACCAGATGCGCCGGTGTTCTGGTTTAACGTTAACGAGTGACCGCGTGAACTGAACCGGAACACGGGGGGGCTGCATGTTTCATCACGTTACGTTTTTTCCTTCTAAATCGCGATAATGATGAACGTTAACAGTCGACAAAGTTCCGCGTGCAGTGGACGTTAACTTAACCCAGCAAGTCTGAACTTTAACGGAACATAACGTAACTTAAACTTTAACGGAGGGAAATGAAGACGCTGTACACATCTGAACGCTGATTGGCCAAAACTCAACACATCAAAGATGTTCTATTGTGAAGATCACGACGTCACCTTTTCTCCTCGTCTCACTCCAATCTGACAAACACTGGCTGACAACTCACCGTAAATGAACGACATGAAAATATGAATATAACACATTTCCATGACTTTTCCAAAACTTTTGGGATTTTGTTTTTTCCAATAACCATTTTAAAATTCCATGACTTTTCCAGGTTTTCCATGACCGTACGAACCCTGTCTAGTGCACTACAGAACATCTCGTGCACTACAGAACATCTCGTGCACTACAGAACATCTCGTGAACTAAAGAAGATCTGTTAGTGAAGATGTTGTTAGAGGATGTTTTGAGGTGATGGGGCAGAACTCTTACCTGTCATGTCCGCCTTCAGGGCCTCTGCCTGTCTGCTCGATGTAAACAAGAGAAGAGAAGGTGAGACGAGTTCATCAGAAACAGACAGACAGACAGACAGACAGACAGACAGACAGACAACACACACACACACACACACACACACACACAACTCCTTCTTGTTTGTGGATGAGCTAACAGTTAACACACCTGACAGCGATGCTGACGCTGTCACGGGCTCGAATAAATATGTGAACAGCAGTGACACAGTTTTGATATTTCGGCTCAGACTACTCCCTGGTTCCCAACATGCGACGAAAACGCGATACAAAACAACACAAAAACAAGCCCACCCAGCTAGCTACTTATCAACGTGTCTCCGGCCAGTTAAATAAAAACAACAACAACACACACAGCTGAATAATCTTTAAGTGGTGCTAATGAACCAATGTGACAGCAGCTAATGCTAACCTGACATCCGCAGAAAAGACGCTGCCGAGCTAATGCTAACTAGCAATAACACACCACCACGTCTCTGTATGTGTGTGTGTGTGTGTGTGTGTGTGTGTGGCGGTAACATGAAGCCGTTAAATCAGACTATAAGCGTTACTTCTGAATAAAACGACACCGACTTGTGTGAAATATTAAATATATTTAATTTACAACGTGAGTGCGTTAGCATCGATTGTTTGTTGATATGTAGCTAGCTAGCGCTAAAACGTTTTAAGCTAGCTTTAGCGTTAGCCACCGAAAACAAAACAAATCCACCTGATGAACGAATAACGTCCGTTTATGAGCCGCAAACCATCGCGTGTGTTACCGGCAGAAGACACCGGACCGGAGGGTCTTACCGGAGGTACTGAGCAATGAGGTTCATCCTACCGGATCCACCGGTCTATCACACAACGACGGGTCCAGAAGCTAATGCTCCTACCGCCGCCATCTTGTTTCTGTGTGGGTCAGACAGGGCCCGGCGGATGGGAGGAGGAGGAAGAGGAGGAGAGGAGAGGTCATGGTTCTGTTTCCATAGAGGAGCAGGACTTTTATTTTGAAGAGAAAATCAAGACCACAGAGAGAGAAAAAATGCCCTGAAACTGCTCTTGGAGACTATTTCCAATAGTTTGACCAATGTAGCCGATTCTGATCCTAAACCCCCATATCGAACCTGATCCTGCCCAGTCTGCTGGTCCCCAATGAGTCCTGAACCCTACCTGTGTGTAGAAACCACTCGCTGCTTCCACAGCGACAGGTTGGCCTGGACCTCGCTGCGTTTGGGGTTGGCCCGGTTTTTGGCCTGGCTCTGCAGGGTGGTGATCTGGTTCTTAAAAGCGTGATTCCACCTGCAGGGAACACAGAAAACATCATCAATGGTAAAGAAAAGCGTTTTCTTTGTTGTCGTGGTTTCAGGCGGAGCCTGCAGCAGCAGCGACCTCCAGTTGAAGCCGCCGCCGTCTCCGAGCCGCAGCGACCTCCAGTTCCTGCCGCTGCCGCCTCCACGCTGCAACAACCTCCAGTTCCTGCCGCCTCCGCGCTGCAACGACCTCCAGCCCCTTACCCCGCTGGGCCATCACTCCATCGCCCTGAGCCCCAGTCTATGGACTTCCGTCCTCCGGAGCCCCAGTGTCCCCGGCCCGCTGCCCCCGAGATCCCGTGTTCCCAGTCCGGCCCCCCGAGATCCCGGGTCCGGAGCAACTCCGGCGTCCGGCCGACCACCCGAGAACCCAGGTCCGGAGTCCTGTTCCCCGTCTGATCCCCAGCCTCTAGAGCCCTGTTCCCCGTATGTTACCCAGCCTCTGGAGACCTGTTCCCCGTATGTTACCCAGCCTCTGGAGACCTGTTCCCCGTATGTTACCCAGCCTCTGGAGACCTGTTCCCCTTCTGATCCCCAGCCTCTGGAGACCTGTTCCCCGTCTGATCCCCAGCCTCTGGAGCCCTGTTCCCCGTCTGATCCCCAGCCTCTGGAGCCCTGTTCCCCGTCTGATCCCCAGCCTCTGGAGCCCTGTTCCCCGTCTGATCCCCAGCCTCTGGAGACCTGTTCCCCGTCTGATCCCCAGCCTCTGGAGACCTGTTCTCCGTCTGATCTCCAGCCTCTGGAGACCTGTTCCCCGTCTGATCCCCAGCCTCTGGAGCCCTGTTCCCCGTCTGATCCCCAGCCTCTAGAGCCCTGTTCTCAGTCTCATCCCCAGTCCGGCAGCCCTCCCGAGCTCTTGTGCCCGAAGCGACTTTGGCGGTTCGGCCGTCCCCCGGAGCCCTCCTGCCTGTCCGGTCGTCCTCATGCCCGTCCCCCGGAGCCCTATGGCCAGTTGGATCCAGACGTCCCTCATCCGGACCCCCTCTACCCACCCTTTTTGATTTGGCAGCTGTTGAGACGTCCCTCCTGCGGACCCCCTCCACCTACCCGTTTTTGTCTTGCTGGACTTTGGACGTCTGGTATCCGTCCCTTGAGGGGGGGTACTGTGACAATTAGGCTTTGCCTTCTGTGTGTTAGTCGTTGTGTAGCTTCACCCTCCTCACTCTACCTGTCAGCCACTCCCTCAGCACTAGTCTAACTCCCTTCACCTGCCTCTGATCACTAATCAAGCACTCCCTCCTCATCAGCACAACGCCCCTCACCTGTTCAAGCCACTTCATAAACCCCTGCCTCTCAGTCACTCACTGCCAGATCACTGCCATTTCTACCTGTCTGTTTGGCTCGTCCAGTTCCTGGTTTTCCAGTCTTCCTGCCCTGCCTCGTCCTGCCGAATTTTCCCCCTCATTTCTTGTCTTGTGCTCGGACTCCCTGTTGTGTTCTGATAACGATTCCTATTTTGTTCGCTACTCATTAAAACCTGTCTCTCACTACCTCTGGTCCTGCATTTAAGTCCACCACCACACCCCGTGACAGAATGATTACATTGTGATACTTTATGCTATATTATGATATATTATGATTACATTATGATACATGATTACATTATAACATTATGATACCATTATGATACATTATGATTAGTGCTGGCAAGTTAACGAGTTATTATCGCGTTAACGCATTAATTAATTAACGCCGACAATTATTTTATCGCGCGTTAACGCAGTTTTTTAATTATTATTAAGCAGACATTTTTAACACAAGAACCGGCAGCGAGCGGTGAACAGCTGTTTGTGTGGGGTCTCTTCCTGTTTCCTTCACCTACACTCCCCTGGGTCCTAAGTCCCTCCAGTACAGCTTCTTATCACCCTCTATGTACCAACGTACATTTATAAAAAATACCACACATATTACGGTAATCAGCGTTGCATATGTGTCTGACCTAAATACCAAAAAAAAGCAAAAAATAAATGATTAATTTAAATTATTTTTTTAGAGTTTTTTAAAGTGTTTTGTTTGTAATATGTATAATAAGCATCATTTAGTATCACTACTGAGAATTTAACAAACATAAAAACATGACGTAGATATGTTTGCAGTTTTCAAGAAGTATATTTAAATATCTCTTACACACATGAAGATAAAGTTGTGAACACCGGCTGAATATCTGTGATCAGAATCATTATAACTGTGTTATAACTGCTGCCGTGTAAAGGGAATACTGCTGCCAACAAGAACCTGATGTGTTTAAAGTGTTTAAACCAAATGTTATTGACCTTTTGTTCATATAGCAGTACTTTCAAAATAAAAGTGCGCAATACACTACTTTTGAATTCATTATTGAATTTTGCACATAACGATGCGATTAATCATAAAAAATCATGCGATTAATCGTGATTAAATATTGTAATCGTTGGCCAGCACTAATTATGATACATCATGATAACATTATGATACATTATGATCCATGTGATAATGAAGCTGTGAGTGAATGTATTAAAGCAACAGTGTAGCAGTGACGTGTGAGTGTCTCTTTAACGCGCTGACGCTGCTTCCTGCCGCAGACTCTCCTCTCTCTCTCTCTCTCTCTGCTGCGGCCACCGCTACAAACAACCGACGACCCGGGAACACAGAACCCACACGAGGACCGGGGGACCGGACCGGACCGGGAGACACAGGAACGCAGAAGAAGGACACGGAGACAGAAAAAAAGACATGACAGAAAACACCAAAACCCACGTGATCCTGCTGTCCTGCGGGAGCTTCAACCCCATCACCAAGGGACACATCCATATGTTCGGTGAGCATCTGTCCGTGTGTGTGTGGGGGGGGGGGGGGATCACATGAAACCTCCCAAACAATCACATCGGGCCACACATCTGAATCTGAGTTTGAAATGGTCAAAACGTGACCCGGGTTTGGTGCGCCTGTCTGCTCGCTGTCCAGCAGGGGGGTGCTGAAATGGACGACTGCTCCACATCCAGCAGAATGTAAAGAAAACACAAACAAAGAGCGGAATAATGTCCCGTTAAAGACGTTAATGTGACCCGGGGCGTTTGTTTAAGGAGAGAAAAACACGGAAATGTTCCGTCTCGAGGCTCCGCAGGCCTCGCGCGGCGTGTGGCGCAGCCCAGAAAACACGCCTCGATCCCCGCCGGGTCCTCGGAGACTCCGGACGGACCGGAATACGGTGCCTTGCTCAGCGGCGGGTTCCTGCGTCATTAGACAGGAGCTAATGGGTCCAAACACACATGAATTATTCAGGTTCCTGCTGCTGCGGACACAGTGTTTCACCTCCTCATGGTTTAATGAGGTATCAGTACACAGTTATTAGTTATTAGAGTGATTTAAAGGGGATTATTATTGGAATATAATATATTAAAGTCATTGAAATAGATTATCTGCACGGTAAATTAGGACAATTCCAAATATCATAACAACCATCCCTTCACAGCTTGACATGGCCTTCATTTAAGTTAAACAATAAAGGAGGGCTTTGAAGCTTTTGGTAATTTGATACTTTATTATTTTACCTTTTAAAACTTTAAAACTCTGAAGACGAGAACTGATGAATGTCACCCATTCATTTCTATCATAAACAATTCATGTGAAGTGGTCTCCTGAATGTCCATCCAAACTGAAGTCCTGAAGGGTTTTTATGAACATTTAAATGATATTAATTATAATAAATACAGATTCATGCGACATTAATATAGTAAACATGACCTCACTGAGCCGATGACACGTCTCAGCTGTAAGTCACTGCACAGTACACATATACACACATATACATGTACTCAGTGTAGTACACAGTACAGTACACAGTTCATAGTACAGTACACAGTATGCACAGTACAGTACATAGTAGAGTACACTATGCACAGTACAGTACACATTAGACATATTACAGTACACAGTATGCACAGTACAGTACATAGTAGAGAGCACAGTATACACAGTACAGTACACAGTAGACATAGTACAGTACACAGTGTGCACAGTACATAGTACGCAGCACACAGTACAGTACACAGTACACAGTACACAGTACAGTACACAGTTGGATGCAGAGCTCAGTATAGTGTTTCAGCAGACTGAGCATCCTATAGAATGAAGAACTTGATCACTAAACTAAACACGACCAATAGAAAGTATGAAGCTGCTCCGTCAGATCACATCAGCCAATCAGAGAGCTTGTTTTCATCAGCCATGACGTCGTGTTTCTCTCCTCAGATGTAAACTGATTGATCGACAGTGAAGGAAACAAAAGTGAATCCAAAACATTTGGAAATCAAAGACAATCACAGGCCGGCAATGTGTGTGTGTGTGTCGCCAATCAGAAGGGAGGGGGCGGGGTCATGTTAGTGTCCGTCATGTGTAGGAAAATATCTCCAGCTGACTCATGATGTCCTTTCAGAGATTATCATTATTATTATTATCATTATTATTATTATTATTATCATTACTATTATAATTGTAATAATTATCATTATTATTATTATCATTACTATTATCATTACTATTATAATTATAATAATTACCATTATTATTATTATTATCATTATTATCATTATTATTATTATCATTACCATTATCATTATTATTATAATTATAATAATTATCATTATTATTATTATCATTATTATTATTATTATCATTATTATCATTGTTATTATTATCATTACTATTATCATTACTATTATAATAATAATAATTATCATTATTATTATTATCATTATATAGAGACTGGTTCCTCTATATGAACCAGGCTCAGTGTAGACCTGATCCTCTATATGAACCAATCTCAGTGTAGTCCTGATCCGCTAACAGAGCAGAACATTGAAATACTGTAGTACCTCTAAATTGTACTTCAGGGCAGTACTTGATCAGATGTTCTCGTTTACCTTCACGCTGTGTGTTTCTCTGGTTCTGTGTTTTGCAGAAAAAGCCAGAGAGTTTCTGCACAAATCGGGTCGCTTCATCGTGATCGGAGGAATCATCTCACCGGTGCACGACTCCTACGGAAAACCTGTGAGTCCTTCCTCTTCAGCTTGTAATC